AAGAGGAGGAGGAAGAAGAGGAAGAGAAGGAGGAAGAAGAGGAAGAGGAGGAGGAAGAAGAGGAAGAGAAGGAGGAAGAAGAGGAAGAGGAGGAGGAAGAAGAGGAGGAAGAAGAGAAGTAGGAGGAAGAGGAGGAGAAAGAGGAGAGGAGAGGGGGAAAGAGAGAGAGAGAGAAAGAGAGAGAGAGAGAGAGAGAGAGAGAGAGAGAGAGAGAGAGAGAGAGGAATGTTTCAGATTCTCTAAGAAGTGTCTGTGCTGGAGAGTGATAGCTCAGTGGTTGAGAACAAGTTTGGTTCCCAACACAGATGTCAGGTGTTCACCACTGCCCGTCACTCCAGCTTCAGAGGATCTGATTCTCAGTTCTGGTTCTCACTGGCAGGTCCATTCATGAGCTTACTTGCATAAGCATACACACATATAATTAAAAAAATAAAATAAAGGGCTGGAGAGATGGCTCAGTGGTTAAGAGCACTAGCTGCTCTTCCAAAGGTCCCAAGTTCAATTCCCAGCAACCACACGGTGGCTCACGCCCATCTATAATGTGATCTGATTCTCTCTTCTGATACTCAAGGTATACTTGCCGGTATATACATAAGGATAAATAAATCTTAAAGAATAAATAAAATACATCTTTAAAAAAAGGACATTGCTTTTCTTGGGGACAGGAGAGATGATTCATTAAGTGCTTTTTCTGCAAGTGTGGGGACAGGGAATTCAGTTCCCAGAAGCCACACCAGGCCAGGCAGGCAGGGTGGCTGCTCATACTCCAGAGGCAGAGGCAAGGCATCCCTGGAGCAAGCTGGCCGGCTACACTAGCCAGAATTGACAAGCTCCAAGTTCAGCAAGAGACCTTGCCTCAAAATACAATTTTAGGAAGCATCTAGGAAGACATTCAACACTACAAGCATGTGCAGGTGCAGTATCAGCACATACATGTGCCCGTACGTGTGTAAATACACTCACACCACACACACATACAAAACCTTTTCTTTTTTCTCCGCAGTAATTTGAGTAAAACGCTTTTCTATGGAGGTAAGTAGGAATTACAGGTCATTGTTTCTTTCTAAGCTCCCACACATCCATACAAATCAGACTAAAATAAAATGAAATCACTCACAATAAAGATGAAACTAAGCTGTTTATCTGACCTTCCAAGAAATTAGGGTCTCAGAAGCCAAGACCAAGTTTTCCAGACGTGTCTGTGTCGCTTGATATGATCATGAGATTCTCTCGCTGCAGTAACGGTAATGGAAGGTAAGGCCCTGTCAATCAGTCAGTTATTTTTCTGTTCTTGTCTTGAATGACCAATGAAATCTTTTGCTTCTGATATTTTTCAGTCGATAAAATCAACATCTTCTCTTCATCCTACCAAAACACTTAATGTATTTCATGGGCTGAAGTTCTGCCTGAATCTAGAAAGGAAAAGAAAGCCAGCTGAGGTGGTTTGAGTAAGAATGGCCCCCCACGGGCTCACATATTTGAATACTTTGTCACCAGGGAAGGTTAGAAGGATTAGGAGGTGTGGCCTTGTTAGAGGAAGTGGAGGCCTGCCACTCGGGTGGGCTTTGAGGTTTCAAAAGCCCATGCCAGACCTAGTTTGCCTGCCTGTCTGTCTGTCTGTCTGTCTGTCTGTCTGTCTGCAGATCAGGATGAAGCTCTCAGCTACTGCTTCAGTGCCAAGTATGTTGCCATGCCCCCCCCCCCCACACACACACCATGATGGTAATGGACTAAGCCTCTGAAACTCTAAACAAACTCCCAATTAAATGCTTTCCTTTGTAAGAGATGCTGTGGTCATGGTGTCTCTTCACAGTAATAGAATAGGGACTAAGACACCAAACAAAACCACTTAACTAACCTGTTTTAAGTTTGTCTTTTAGCACTAGCTAGCTCAGGAATAAAACGTACACACACAGTGCAAACTCAAGATTTGGTGACATGTGGCTTCATTTCCTGTCACCAGAAAGGGTTTGTTGATATACTTGTGTCTCATCTGTCACTCATTGCTAGGCTAACCCAAGTCACAGATTCCCAAATAAAGCCCCTAGGATACTCAGGAAGCACTGTTCGCCTCTCTGGCACTAGCTCTGAGCATTTCATCAACTTCCTGGCTGGGATCTTATGACCAAGGGTAACTTAGCAATGTTCATTTTGTTTTGGACAGGACATACAGTGCAGCGGTAGAGGGCTTGCATAGCTCCTGCAGGCGTTGAAAATCCAAGAATCCTGTTAGGCCGTGTAGGGCAGGGACATGGAAAACGCTTCTTGTCCTTGGCAGTCAGCTCTGCTTGTCCGGAAGCAGGAAATGTCTTTGGTTTTATGACATTCTATTCTGGTCAGGAGGTCAAAACTCCAGAAATGTTTAGGGGACCTGGTTTGTGTTCTTGTTATCTTCTTTTCTCTTTTATATAGCAACCTAGTCAACACGGTTTATTAACAATGAGAGGATTGTAGATGGAAGACACCCAGAGGCTTGCCTGGGGCATGTGCAAGTAAATGGTGGAGAGATGGGAGAGAAAGAGAAGCGGAACAGTTTGAGCATCATGAAGAGAGATGGAACTGGGTACTCGAGGGTGGAGGGGAATACCCTGATGTGAGCACCCTGTGCTGCCACCTAAGGGCATGATGATGTCCCAGCCCATGCTGCTGCTGACAGCCACGGCTGTGGGTCCATGACCATGCAGCAGCAGGAGTCTGTGTCAATGTCTGTGGCCCATGTTACCACCAAAGGCCTTGTGGATGTTCCTGGTCTGGGATACTGCCTTGGTCTATAATGACGACAAGGGCTGTGTAAAGCTGGCTCTACCTCTCACTAGCTTTAGCATTCGGGAGAGCAGGGCCTGTACTTGGCCTGGGCAGCATAGTAGAGCTTCTCCTCTTAGTGGGGGTGGGAGTGAGCCAGCCCTGCCGCTCCTCTGCTGTGAGGGGTGACATGGGTGTGGTTGAGCCACCCCTTAAGGCATAAGAGCAGGAGAGCGGGCTGCCCCTTGCTGACTGTAACATTGGGTGAGCTAGCCTGGGCGGTCCTGGAGAGCTGGCTTTGGTGGCGTGGGTGTGGGAGAGCTGGCAGGCTGACCAACTCAGCTACCATCCAGGCCCAGATCCAGGGTGTTGAGGTGGTCCACCCCAGTGTCTACCTCATCAGTGAACTGCTAGAGTGTGTGAAGGGGCTAGATTCAAAGCTGGGAGACCTCCATGACATAGAACAACAGCAGGAGCTCTGAGGGGAGTCCAGGGAGGATCCAGTACTGACAGTGGAGCAGAAGCCAAGGCCTGGAACAGACCAATGCATTGCAATGAACGTTTGCGGGAAAGACGGATGGAAGAAAGGACAGACTGTGGGACACACTGTGACACACTGCAGCGAGATTTTTGTTTCTTTTCTTTCTTCTTTTCTTTTGAGGGGAGGTTGCAAGGGCAGCGGGTGGGACAGGGAGATAAATGGGATTGGAGTGAATGAAATTCACAAAGAATCAATAAAAAGCTTTTTAAAAATGAGTGGATTGCCATGACACAGAAACAGTTCAGGGCTGGGAACAGGGCTAGAGCAGGCAGAGGTAACACAGTCTTGATCCTATTCCTGATGGCAGTTTAGATCTACAGTGAATTCTAGGGTTGAGGTCCTTCTCTCAGCATCTTGAAGATACTGTTCCATTATCTTCTGGTCCCAATTGTTGACATAGAGAGGTGTGGTATAGGTCTTTTTGTTGACTTTTTTTGGGGGGGTTAACTGGCTTTTTCTGCTGTTCTTCATTGCTGCAGCTTGTTTTTGGATACTGTATTACATATAGCTTCATGTTTTTTCCTCTCCTCATCCTTCAGTATGAGGTTTGAATGTCTCTATCATTCTAGGAAAACTACAGAAGCTTCTTTTCTTATTCTGTTTATTTTCTCATTGGAGAAATATTCACAAACTGTTTGCTTTAATTGTATTAGGGGAGAATTGAGGCATGTTTATTTTCTTCTATGGGCAAATCTACAATCATTTTATTTTGTAAAGGTATGTTAACTGCATATTTCTCAAAGATGGAAACATAGAAGAGAACTCCCTGTTCTGGGTAGTTAGAGGACACTGGAGTGTTGGAGCTGGGCAGCTGCCTGCCCTCCATGCTGTTAGAATCTACTTTCCTATCGATAACCTGAGTTATTACTTAATATTTACTGTGTTCCATCTGGGCTGCCCTTAACTCCAACTGGGCAGCCCTCAGGGCCATGCTCTCTTGACCCCAACCCATGGCATCTTCTTTCTCTTCTCCTGCACATTCTTCTTTCCCTTGTGGTCCTCCTCTAACCACTAGTCCGAGAAACCTAAACCCCACCTATGTCTCTTCTGCCTAGCTATATGGCTGTCGGCATCTTTATTTACCAATCAGAATCAACTTGGAGGCAGGGTCCCAGGGGCTATGTGCAGACTCTATGTCTTGGAAGCCTCACTTAGCATTACAGTAGATAGTAAAAGGCAAAACCTCAGCACTGGGGGGTCTTTAGGA